CCTTTCATGTAGGACAAGGCGTATGCGATCTTTGTAAACTCGTCCGGGAAGTCGTGTTTCCTGGCGAGGATCATCAGGTCGATTTTGTGGAGGAACTGCTCCGTTCGTTTTCGGTTTCCGTCGAAGGGAGTGGGCTTGGCCATAGCCGGTCCCTTGGACTCAGGATTTCTAGGATTTGTCGACATCTCACTGGACGGGGGCTGGTGATCGTCAGGAGGCTCTCCACTTGTATCTGGTTCTTGAGTATGCTCTTCCCGGGTGCTTTCGTCCGGTGAAGGGGTTCGGATGCTTGTTTGGGGAGAGGTTTCTTGTATCGGGGATGTAGCGGGCGTGTTTCTTCGAGAGAGTCGACTTCCACTGGCTGTTTCCCTGGGTACGTTATAAACGTGTGGTCTTGGTGAGTTACGATTCCGATGTGTTGGTGATTTAGGCTTGATTCTTCTGAGCTCGGCTGCGACGATTGCGAGCTTAGTGGTCTGTAGTTTGGGTGCGGCGTGGATCTCCTTGTCGAAGAAGGGTTTCTTGTAGAATTCTTCTTTTCCAACTCCTGTGTAGAATCCGGTGAGGATTCCTCCGATGTAGAAGTGTCGGTTCTCTTCGTCACAATAAACGGTGTCTGGGTCGACGTCCTCGGGTAGGTGGTCGAAGATGTAGATCGGGTTATTGTGGTACGGGGGCGGGTATCCTTTTGGGATTGTTGGCTCAATGGTTTATTCTGTGAAGAAGAAGGGGATCTCGTGTCTTCTTCCGGCTCGGAGTCCTTCTTGGAGTGTGGGTTCTCTGCGGATGATTTCGTTAATCCCGTTGTTGATCTGGTCCAGGAATGTGAGGATCTCGTCAAAGGTTTGTCCTGCGACGACTGTTCGGAAATGATAAGTTTTGTGGGCGAACTCTCCTCGTCGGATAACTGATACGGTGCCGATGATTTCGGTTCGATGGGGTGAGTATCCAGTAGGATCCAGCACGTCCTAGTTCGGGATGGTGTAGGTCCAGAAGATGAAGATTGTGTAGTCGCTCCTTTGGTGACTGTTCTCGAGTAACTCCTGTCTGATTCCTCCTGAATCAACGTCCTGGGTGATGCGCTTGCGAAGGGATGCGATGTGATCTGCTGGGAAGTTACTTGGTCTTCCGTCGTCGATGTCAACGGTATTCCTGGTGTGAATAAAGTTGAGTCCTGGATCTCCAACTGCGGAGACTGGTGTCCTGGGTTCGTTGGTGAAGCAAAGCCCCAGAAAGGGGAATCCGATTCTTCCGATGAAGAAGTAATCTTGTATGTGCTGTAGCCGATATGAGGCTACTCCTGCGTATACTCGTCCGATTGCCGAGTATCTGATGTGGGTGCTGGTCTCTGTTAACCTAGGCGTTCCTTCGTGGGGTGCTTGGTTAATCCTGGTGGCTAAGATGCTGCTGCGGTTTCTTTCTTCTAGCAGTTGGTGTGCGGCTGCTGCTAGTGACTGTAGTCGTTGCTGGTCCAGAGTGTTTCTTCAGGGCAGGGAAGAGAGAGCTCGTTCAAGTGTTAAGCCGGCTAGGCTTAGTCGAGTGCACGTGATGCACTAAGAGGGGTTCCCTGGGCTGAAGCTGATAGTGACGGCCCACCGAATGAATACGACTGCTCGTCGTTGGGCTTGTTCCAAGAAGGGTTGGTCTGTATTGATCTTCTCCTCGAAGAGTCTGAGGAGATGCTGGTTGATCACGTGACGATGTTCGTCTGGTACGAACAAGTCTTCTCCGATACAACAGATGACTTCGGAGGGGTCCCAACGGATGACTCGATAGGCAGCGAGTCCTTGATACGTTGCAGGCGGTAGAGGGTGATAAGAGCTGTGAGACGAGTCCAGTGCGTCGTCAGACTGAGTATGGTTCTTTAGATCTGACAGAGATCGCGAAGCGTGAGCTGGGAAGGCAGCCAGACGCCGGGCGCAGTGCTGAGATCAAGATGTATACAAAGTGAACGAGCTGAGGCTTCTAGGAAGCTCAGCTCCCCTATATATAGTACAGGACTATTTAGGGCGGGACGGACATATGGTCCGTGCTTCGAAACACTAAGTACTATCAACGATCGACATCGGTAAGCCGCAGTCATCGTTCGTACTCCGCGGCTCTTGGATGTAGCCATGTATAGTAAGTATATCAAATGTCTGTTCGCATCAATCAGAAATAAGGAACCGATCGTGATCCAATCAGTAAGCACAATAGAAGAGGAACCGATCACGATCGACATCAGTCATCAGAACAAAAGGGGGAAAGCATAGTATCGTAAGCGTTCATGCGTTAGCATGTGAATAGTAATCAATCCGAAACTGAGACGAAAGCGTTCATGCGTTAGCATGTGAATGATAAACAGTCCGAGTCCGAGTCATGTGCGTAGCTCATGACCATGTCCTGAGTCACGTGCCTAGACGCGTGTCAAGTCACAGTCCTAATCGTCAATGGTTCGAGTCCAGGGAAACACCTGACCTTCCCGGTTGTCCACGTGCCAAGCACGTGTTAGGACACGGTCCTAACAGCAGCTGCTAAGCTGCCAACAAAGTGGCTGGGACATCAATGCATATTTCCCTCTTTCTATGTCTATTATAAAGGCAGCTAGAAAATCAGCAAAAAAGCTACAAGATAATGGTGCAGGCATATATGGAGAAAAGTAATATGCTGGAATAGTGTAGAATGTGCCACATCTTTACCTTCTCACTGATAGAGCAGTAGTACTTACTATTTCCTACTGCTAATTAAAGACTTCTTGGTATGGAATTAGTGCTAATATTATGAAATCAAAAACCAATCCAATGCTCATAATATATTGCTCCCAATGAGGAATTAGACACTTTTAGATGCTATTAACACTTTTAGATACTTTTAGACACTATTAGATATAATCCGGAGCTAATACAAAGGAGTGGTTTTCCAGATATACTGGTCATTACAGGACACAATATGTGGGTTGGGCTTAGGTTTATGCTATATGCAGCCTTATAGACCTTGTTTATTAGTACAGTGGTCAATACTGTCTTGTGCAGCATACAATCATTATCACTATTAATATTATAATTTTTAGCACCATTTATATTGTTTATTATCTTGTTATATAGAAGATGCTCAAACTTGGTGTTTTCCTCTAGCTATTAGGCTGTGGAAAAGACAGTTATATTAGTATATGGTGCCAAAATGATATATTTGCCTGCCATATAGGAAATATGTGCACTAAGCATATTAAGATCACCTCCAACAATCTTGTGCTTATTTATATATAGGCATGCCATACATATACTCTTGTCCCCACCCTCTACCTCACTAGTGGCTATTTAGAAAACCCCTCTCTCTTATTGGATCTTAATTATTTATAATTATGTTTTTGATCAAATTTACAAATTAAGATAGCATTGTCTATACTAGTAGAGTCCTATTGAATATTATACTCAATCATAGTTAGGTTAGGCACCCTCTTGTATTAGCTCTGGATTATATCTAATAGTGTCTAAAAGTATCTAAAAGTCTTGATAGCATCTAAAAGTGTTAATAGCATCTAAAAGTGTCTAATTTCCTAATTGGGAGCAACACATTGTAAGCATTGGATTAGTTTCTAATTTTATAATATTAGCACTAATTCTATACTAAGAAGTCTTTAATTAGCAGTAGAAAATAGTAAGTACCACTGTGTTAGAGTTTACGAGGCTAACTAATAGAAGCATGAGCAAATAAGTGACTCAGTGTGTGTAAACAATAACTGATATATATAATAAGTACCTAATAGAAGCGCAAGCAAATGAGTGACTATGGCAAGTCAGTAAAAGGTCTATGAAAGTATAAATGGTATAGTAGCTCATCTTAGTATATGTAGACAATGACTGAGGTGCTCGATAACAATGAATGTGTGGTAATGGTAGTGTGTTCGGAATGTGAATAGGAACTATATAGTACCAAGGCATCAACTCCGCAAGGTAACATGTCTGAGTGAGTCTATAAAAGGAAACTGGTAACATATTATGTAATAGTTTGTTTGAAGTCAAAACATACCGCTGTGCCTTCGTGCACGTTTGTCACTACAGTAAATCTCAACACTCCCCCTCAAACTGCCTGGAGCCCTAAGAATGTGACCATCTTCTCTACCTTTGGTTATGGGAGCACCTTTATGAAGATATCAGCAACCATCTTATTGGTTGGACAGTAGGCAAGAGTGATGTGGCCCTCATCAACGGCCTTGCAAATAAAGTGATAATGGATATTGATATGTTTTATGCGTGCATGAAAAGCATTGTCAAGCACGAGGGCAATTGTAGACTGGTTGTCACAAAACAGTAAAATAGGTGTTGTGTGGGGTGTGCAAAAGATGTTAGTGAGAAATGCACCGAGCCAGAAAGCTTCCTTTAAAGCATGTGTAATAGCAACATACTCAGCCTTGGTGCTTGAAAGAGCTACAATGGCTTGCTTCTTGGCTGACCAGGATATAGCACTTCCATTAATAAGGAATGCATAGCCCAAAATTGAGTGGTGATGCTCCTGTGATGCCCAATCTGCATTTGAGAAACCTTCGAGGCCATGCTGTTCTGTCCTGAACATCAGTCGGTAGCTTTGCATGCCTTTTAGGTATCTAAAAACTCACTTTGCACCTTCCCAATGAGCCTTTCCAGGGTTTTGCATGAATTGCAAGAGGTGCGTGACCGAAAACACAATGTCAGGTCGAGTCCTGCATGCTGCATATATCAGCAAACCAATCACTTCGCAAAACAGCATGTTCTGCATCTTCTCATACTGGCAAGGTATTGAAGGTGACTGGGTGCTGTTCAAAATGAAGGAAGGGTCAAGGGGTATCATTAGAGGGCTGGCTTTGTCAAGATTGAACCATGCAATGATCACATTGATATACACAGCCTGCAAGAGTGAAAGAGTGCAGGCTTGCCTGTCCTACTTGATCTCAATGCCAAGTAACTAGTGAATTGGACCAAGATCTGTTATCTCAAAGATCTGCTTTAGTCCCTCCTCAATTTTCTAAAATGGTGTCTCAAGCTCATGAAGATTGCCAGGTCATCCACTGAAGCTGTGACTATGATGATGCCATTTTTGAGTTGGCACCAAAAGATGCCATGGTCAACTGAGCAGTGCATGAGCTTCAGCTTTGCAAAAATGTTGCAGAGCCACTTGTACCAGCATTGTTCTGACTGCTTGAGGCCATAGATGGTTTTGCGGAGTAGACACACCTTGTGTCCTTCACCTGGTTTTGCAAAGCCTGGTGGCTGCTCCATGTAGATCTTCTCTTCGAGCTCTCCCTTCAAATAGGCATTCTTGATGTCCATCTGGTCAACCTCCCAGTTCTCATGAGCTATGAGCACGAGCAGAATGCACAAGGACTCAAGTTTGCTGACTGGCGTGAAGGTGTTGGTGTAATCAAGTCCAGGGGCCTGGGTAAAGCCCTGTGTGATGAGCCAGACTTTGTATTTGGTAATGTTGCCCTCTGCATTGCGCTTCGTCCTGAAGACGAGCTTGTTGACAACAACATTGACACCTGGGGGTGGCCAGTTGACAAGGGTGTAGGTGCCAAAATGGTTGATCATGGCCATTTCCTCGAGAATTGCTGACTCTCACTTTGGCTAATCCTTCCCACAGTATGCTTCCTCCAAATATTCAGGTTTGAGGTCCACTCCCATGCTTGTAGCCATCGCACACTCAAAAGCTGTGTGTCCCTCCTCTTCCTCTGTATTGTTCTCATCCTCTGCCTATGTGGCACTCGACTCTACTGCACCTGGACCAGCCACAAGACTTGCTGTTAGAAAGAGGGACCTTGGAAGGCTGGTTGTGATGCCTTCTTCTTGTTCAAGGTGTTGCAAGTACTCAGATGGCTGCACATTTTGGCAGGGATGTCCCTGGTGCTCATAAGTCAATGTCTCCTTGTTAGGAGTGTCGGCAGCAGTGATGGGGTCATTCTGGGATGTGACAGGGATCAAATCCGGAGGCACAGGGACACCAGGAGCATCCTGAGGCGTCACCAGAATGTCTAGGTGCTCCCTTTCAGTGAGTTCCCTTCCTTGATTGGAGTCTTGAGGGCTGGGTGGATGTGATTTGACTGCGGGTGGCACAGGCAACAGCGTGTGTGCAGATGGCATTGCGGATGGCGCAGAAGATGTTGTGGATGGCACAGATATCAACGAGGCATCCAGACACGGCACAGGTGGGATGTCCGGGGCATTGTGTGGCCTAGGCTCCCCCTCAACCTAAATGGTCATGTCTGCAGCATCGGCACATCCTCTCTCTGCAAAAACAACATTCTGCTTGATACTGATGCGTCGTTTGCCCAGCCAGTAGACACGATAGCCCTTGCTAGCAGTATGATGCTAGTGATGCCTCTGAGTGCAAAATACACCTAAGAAACACCCCTACAAGTGCAGGTAGGCAGTGTTACGAACTGCTCGTTCGGTAACCCCAAGAGTAGGAGGTTCTTCCCTAGGTCACTTATAGAAGAAGGGTGGAACGATGGTCTCGACTGTACATGTAGTGTTACGACTGCTCGTCGGTAACCCCAAGAGTAGGAGGTTCTTCCCTAGGTCACTCGTGGAGGATGTGTGGAACGGTGGTCTCGACTGTACGTGTAGCACAGGAGCCAGAAGTGTATTGCGATATAGCAATGAAGACTGTAGCAGGTAGACTACAGTGGATGAAGATCCCTGTATGTGAGGATACAGGGGAATGAAGGATACTGTAGGAGGACAGTATCAGAACGAAGAGAATAGACTGAAGATCCTCAGCCTATTCTATGGGCCTTTTATACTACTTTGGGAAGTAGGGCGTGAGAATACCGAATATGTATCTGTAGGTATTCTCTAAGTCGTCTCTCTCAATAACGACTACTCTTGTGCTTCTCCGTTGGTCTCCTTCCGGCCAGGAGAGACTAGGAGGTTCATGCCCTGTGTGTGAGTAATTTATAAGGCGGCGTTCCATGCCCGCTAATACAATAGGCCCGTGATACTCGACCAACGATAAGGTGATCCGTTGGGAGTGGATGACCAAGGTTAATATCTGTACCTTGGTGTACGCCTCAACCTGTGAGGCCGCGTGATATTTGTGATGATCGTATCGGAATAGACCGCCGTGTAGGCCCGATAGAACGTGATCATAACAATACCCCCTTTCTACGTCCTATTCGCCTGGTAGGACCACGCCTTGCGTGTCATCGCCGCTCCATATACGATTTGCTTTCTTGATCCAATGAATGGTCGCCGGATGCGACTTCCGGGACATGACTTCGTTTTCTGGGAGGAAGACCGACTTACGTCGTTTGATCCTCTAGGAGTTTTCCATCTCTGTTGAGCTGTTTGTTTGTCGAGTCGTGAGGATATCCAAGCCTCCGCTCTCTAGGATGTTCTTCCTTCACCCGTGGGATTGATTTTGCCGCGGGTAAACCTTATCGCGGTCTTACTTCCAGCCCGCTTCTGGAATAGTATCAAGAAAGGCGTATGAATGCGAGTGGTGTGTGGATGTGTAGAAATTCGAGCGTGTGGGTTCTAATTCGTGTCATCAGGTTCTTCTTCTTCCTTCTCCGAGGGCCAAACCTCAGTGTTTCCAGGATAGTCGTCTATCCTCATGATTTGTTGTTCCTCTTGACGACAGTGGATGGCGCCCATGGACAAGTAGGTTGATCGCTTTACGAAGGCTTAGGCCTACTTCTCCAGGCTACCAGTCATGACGCCCCAAGCAGTATCGCTCCCATACGGTGAGCTCATCTCCGGTGAGGTTGCAGCCAAATCCCAAGCAGTATTGTCCCCATACGGTGGACTCATCTCCGGTGAGGCAGTTTACGGCGTCCAGAGTTTGTTTTTCACAAACGTGGGCCTATGGTGGGGAATACCACGTGTAGTGTTGGGTTCGAGGCAAGGATGTGAAGAGAATTAGACTTGAAGGGTGCAGCGAGGAATAAGGAGGAGTCTGACTCCTTTCCCAAGTCTGTCCGTTCGCTTGCACGAGTAGACATCAAGACCACAGCTGATATATTGGTCGGGGTGCGAGATATATCCACGACTGGCAGTTTAAAACGTCATGCGGGACGGTCCGTAGTTTATCGTCGTTTCGGACGATTCGTAGTTTAACGTCTTTGCGGACGTTATTAAGGCGTCTTGCGCCTCCCAGTAGTTTACTTTCTAGGTCGTCTCGGACCTGCTTCATCATCAACATGGAATATCTGTGGGGAAAGATGTTTCTGCACGCCGGACCATTCATCGGTTATGTGCATAGGGCCATAGACCAGACTTTACCCGCTCCAGATTCCACTGAGGCATGATGGACGGTTTATACTATATCAAACCGGATAACTTGTAACGCCTCAAAGTTATGAGACCGCTCAGTTTAACGCCGTGAGGTAGGCGGACCTGCAGTTTAACGCCGTGCATTAGGCGGGCTATCGTCTGACTATGTCCCTCGAGTCACGATAGGCTTTTCCTCCGAGGATGAGGGTAGTTTAATGTCATTTCGGACATTATCAGCGTCGTTCTCGTCAAGGACGACGTTGATGATGATCCCTGTGCTAAAAGGGACGAGTAGTTTAACGTCGTTGCGGACGATTCAGCACCAGAGTGATGAATCACAACTCCTATGCGGTAAGGAGCACGTAGTTTAGTGTCATTGCGGACCGATTGACACCATGGCGGTCAATCCACAACTCCTATTCGGTAAGGAGCAAATAGTTTTCCGTCATTGCGGACGCATTGGCGGCCAGGGGATTGGACGTCAATGACAACCCCTAGGTTCAGGGGCACCTAGTTTAACGTCGTCGCGGACACATGGGGGATTAGTCCAGTATCCTCCATGCACGATCCTCATTCTTGAGAGGACAATAGTTTATCGTCGTTTCGGATGCGCGGTATCTTGTCAAGATCGCCACGCACGATCCCTAGAACGAAGGGACAGTAGTTTTACATCATTTCGGATGCCCGTAGATTACCGTCGTTGCGGACGTCGATGCCATTGGCCTCGAACAATCCCTATGTGGAAAGGGACAATAGTTTAGCGTCATCGCGGACATTGTTTCGCCACAAATATTGTGGAAAAACAATGCTTAGTTTAACGTCATCCCGGACGCGACCTAGTTTTACGTCATCGCGGACGACGTTGGCGGAATAGACTTTGGATGAGTGGCCCGCTCTTTGTCGTTCTTCCGCTATGTGGGCCAGACGGGAGTCGCGTGATCTAGTCCCTTCCTACTAGATCTTTGACTCGAGGCACGTGTCCTAGTTGCCTCCTGACTAGGTCTTGGAGCGGAATTTCTTGTACTTCGACTCCAGGACTAGACTGAGCGCTCCATGAAGAGATGCTTGCTCTTCCATGTCCCCAGACCCCTCGCTTGGATTTGAACCAAGACAACCCGATATTCTTTTACCAGAAAGCGAGTGAATATCGGAAGCGCTTCGACCTTTTATAGGCAGGGTTCTGTGACGCGAGTCCTTCCGCGCTTCGCCAGAATGCAACCACGCTCCTTTGGTCGGTGGTAGTTTAATGTCATCTCGGACGATGGTAGTTTTCCGTCGTTTCGGACGATGGTAGTTTTCCGTCGTTTCGGACGAAGACTAGTTTAACGTCATTGCGGACCCTAGTAGTTTATAGTCATTGCGGACCAAGCCTTTGGTAGTTTTACATCGTTCCGGATGTAATTTGTGGCCTCGCATCATTAGGAAGACTTGTGAGGTAGAGGCGGCCCGCTCTCTACATCATCTCATGCGCCAGCTGTAGGATCCCCTAATGCGGAAACAATCCTGTAAAACGGGAGATCCAAAGTGGGACGTCCCAAAACACCAGTCAGACCTTGACTGTGAGGGTTCACGATACGAGTTATGCATCATAATTTCTTGACTCGGACTTGCAACCGGTTATGTATGGGCACTTCGCTGTACCAAGGCGAAGGGCCTGCTTGTCGACACCTACGAGTAGAGTATATGTCATATAGAGGGTTCCCTAATGCGGAAAAAACCCTGTAAAACTGAGGATCCAAATGGGACGCTCGATGCATCTGTCAGATTAACTCCTTGACAGCGAGGATGTGAAAGGTTCCGCCGTAGGCTGTACGTGGAATTATGCCCGCTGTTGTCCTTGATTCGTACCATCATTTGAACCTAGGACTAAAAATGGTCAGGTACTTCCCCTGCCTTCTTATCTTTTCACAGTTTTAAGACATGCAGGTCCGATAGTTTAGACGTCATTCCGGACGCGGGGTAGTTTAACGTCTCTTTCGGACGAGGTCGTACAGTTTAACGTCTTGAGGGACGATCCTAGTTTTACGTCGTTGCGGACGATGGATAGTTTTACATCGTTTCGGATGCTTTTGTGAGGGGAAGGAGTTCCTCAACTTCCTTACCCCCTTTCTTCTCCTTGTGCCCTGTTATTAGTTCGTTTAATAATCGAAGGGTCCTTGATAATCCCCGCCCCCTTCGTCAGGTCGATAGTAGGGGTCCGCTTCGTCGTAATTTCCGGGATCGTCTAGAGCATCCCATGCATCGAGCTCGGATCTAGTCCACGAGCTATTTCTTCGAGCCTCCGAATCAGTGCGGCGAGTTCTGCGGCTACTTCGGTTATCCTCTCTTTCGTGCGTACGAAGTCGAGCACTAGGAGGAGGCGATCTAGGCCGGTGTCGAACACTCCGGCCAGCAGTTGTTCCGCGTCCGAGGGTTGTCTGGCTTCCCCGACTCCGCCTTCCCTCGTTTCTTCGATAGACGGGCGGTTCCTCCTCATCGGTATTTCCTTGGGATAGGGGAAAACCTCGTATCCGGTGAGAGGGGGGAGTCGCGGTATGGCTATGCGCTGTAGAAACCTCTCGTTGTCTCGGTGGAGGGTGCTCCACGACCGTGCGCGGAACCCTCCTTGGATTTGGTACAGGCGTGGTGTGTTCTCCGGGACGTGGTACGTTCCAAGTGACAACCCGGAAAGGGTCGGTTCTGCTTGGTTGGACGTTCCCCAGTTCCCCTCCGAAGAGGAGAGCTGGAAGGAGCTCTCGGTTGACGTATTGGGAGAACTCGTCAGGGTGGATGAGGAGGGCTCGCGGTCGCCCGTCATTGTGGGCGTACCAGGAGGCTGTGTCTGGGTCGGTTTGGAGGGCGAGCGCTCTGATCTGGAGACTGGCACT